AATAATCTTGTCATTGTGTTATATATTATTACAATAATTTGTTTTAATCTTGGTTTGGCCTTGTTTTGATATAAGTATTTTAAAATGAATAAGTAATTACAATACATAATACCATTGCTTGATGAGGCAATCTTGTACTGGACAGTATTAAACATCAAGTTTTGAATAAAACAATTTCTATTTGTTGTATTTTACCCTCACTGTTCGTGCTCCTTAATTTTGTTACCATTCTGCTTGTCGTGCATCAGTGAGTTGATATTCTTTGTGTGTTTAATCTCCATGGGAACTGTTGGCAGGTAGGTGGACAACATACTTGACCTGACCTTGTCAATTAAACTTGGAATGTCATCTTCAGTCAGTCCTTTTGTCTCAAATGGAGGCAAGCCAATCAAAGTGACTGTCACTGCAAAATGAAAAAAAAAATAATGGTATAGGTGATGTCATTAAAAATTTTGACATAACACACATGTCAAGTACAAATAATTATGACATCATTGCACCTTACTGTATAGTTATTCTGTCTTAGATTAGGATACACCAGATCCCTGAAAAAAAATGGAATGCCAATTCGGCTAATATTGTTGGAGGTCACTTAGAGGTCAAGGATTAAATTATGACATCAAATAATGCATCACATTATTAATGTTGACATACCTTTATTGAATGTCTTTGTCTCTGTACTGTACATGTGTTTATAACATGACATCACAACAGGAACAACGGGAACCTGTGTAAAGAAAATAAATAAATTAAGCAAAAATGTAAATTTAATCGAACGAATAGAATGATGCTACTAACAAACAATTGGCATGTACTGTAAAACAAGATTAGGCAAATGCATAGCCAGTTTATCTGTCAGATTTTATCTGTCCAGACTCTCACATTTTGTTTGACAAAAACATGTTTTATGCCTAAATACAGTATGTTCATGATGACATCACATCATGACCATATATAAGCACATCATGACTATATATGGGCATATATCAGTTATTTATCAAAGAAAATTTGATAATCTGGACAGGGTGTTAAAGACAATATTTTATTAAAATTTGATCAAATAAAACATGTGTCTTGCTATGCATTTGAAAGTTGAACAAAACTTTACCTGTGCTTGTATGGCCATGTAGAAAGCACCCTTCTTAAACTCCAACATATCAACATCCAAGCTCCTGGTTCGAGTCCCTTCGGGATACATCCATATTTTTAACTAAATGCAATAAGGTGAAGTAAAACAAATATATAATCATATAGTTTTTACTTGTTAAAATAAGAAAAAAAAATTTATTTTCTTATAGAAAATGTCCCACAAGTATAAGAGACATTAATGAGATCCAAAAAAAAAACCCATATAATTCTATTTGGCTCTCTTTCAAACCTAAGGCCTCAGAAGGCTTTGGAGTTGGTTGTTGGATCAAACAACAAGGAATATATACTCAGCTTCCTGGAGGAGCATTTTATTTTACAGCTAGTTATGAGTACATTGGTGGAGTAGATAAAAAAAAAAAACATTTTTACAGTGTGAGAGTACAATTTCTTCTGAGTCTTGTTGCATCTTGTTACTCGTGTACCAAGAAAACTTTACAAACGTGTAATTTCATTATATATTTTTCTGAAGGTACCATGAATGCACAGGTCTGTCTGCTATATACTATTTTTATCTGCAATATTATAAATTTAAAGCCTGATATTTATTTATTTATTGCAAATTTAAAGCCCTATATGATTATTCTGAAGGATAATGAAATTAAAATAGTGGAATTAACAATTCCGTTTGAGAGCAATACTGAGAAAGCACACAACAGGAAAACTGTATAGCCAGCTAGGTGAAGATCTTAAAGCTAAGGACTTATGCAAATTTTTTGTGCAGAAGTGGGTAGTAGATGGATCATAACACCCAATAACACTAAGAGATTATAATATATACAGGTATTTAACATTATTGAAAAAAAAATGTAAATTTCTGAAAAAAAATTGCTATTTTAACCAGTTATATAATTTGGAAAGCCCGATACAACCACATGTGGCATGACACTTTACTTGTTAAAGTATAAGTGAAGGCAAATTGGTTAGTTTAATCTTTTAATTGGCTT